CTCCAGACTCCACGTCTTGTTCGGCCACCTCTTCTTCGAGCTGGCGCGCCGCCAGTCCAGGTGGTTTACCTCTTCCTAATAGGTCTTCCATCCTCCGGTACCTGGCCGGCTCGGTGTCCCTGAGGCATGTCCTCCAGACTCCACGTCTTATTCGGCCACCTCTTCTTCGAGCTGGCGCGCCGCCAGTCCAGGTGGTTTACCTCTTCCTAATAGGTCTTCCATCCTCCAGTACCTGGCCGGCTCGGTGTCCCTGAGGCATGTCCTCCAGACTCCACGTCTTATTCGGCCACCTCTTCTTTGAGCTGGCGCGTCGCTAGTCCAGGTGGTTTACCTCTTCCTAATAGGTCTTCCATCCTCCGGTACCTGGGTGGCTCGGTGTCCCTGGCGGCATGTCCTCCAGACTCCACGTCTTGTTCGGCCACCTCTTCTTCGAGCTGGCGCGCCTCTAGTCCAGGTGGTTTACCTCTTCTTAATAGGTCTTCCATCCTCCGGTACCTAGCCGAGAGGTTGGCTGGTTGCTCTATCTCCAACTCTAGGATGTAAAGGCGGTTTTCCGTGCACCAAACTTGCATGAGCAATTGTCGTCGATCATCGCAGATCCTAAGTAGCCCGTGCTTGATGGAAATGTGGCAGCTGGCCTTATCGAGTTGACCCAGGCTCACAATATTAGCCTTGAGCCTCGGGATGAAGTAGACGCCGGTCAGCTTATGGTGTTTGCCTCCCTTGCCGACTAACAGGATGGTGTCGTGCCCTGCCCCGATCATATGGTTTGTTGCCCCGTGTCGAGGACCCATCGCCAGTGCTCATGCTGCTCGCCTCTTTCATCGATTTGAGCGAACACCCGCTCCTCCTTCAGTTGAATTGGCTCCCCAGTCGGTACCTTTTTTATGCACAGTTGGAGCTCTTACTCGGGTTCGACGCTCAGTGAATCTTGAATTTAGGGGAAGAAGTCTAATGGCTGAAGAAAACACGAAACAACAAGAAATACCTAAAGAACAAGGTGTGCAGAATCAAGAGCAGGGTTCCCAGAGTTAAGGTTCATTGGTTCTAAGCTATTAGATATCAAGAAAGAAAGAACGAACAGCCGAATTTCGAACTTACTAAGGCAGGAAGAACCTCTTTTTGGGGTGCCAGAAGATGACAAATATACATACATCGAACGCCTAGACGACCCTCCTTGTCGACAGCTGAAACGGTATTTTTCTTCCACTGCTCGACGTTACACACTGCTCGATATTGGATTCTCAATGAACCCACACACGTCCTCCTTGACCACCTCCTTGTTCTAGCAATTCTTGCTCAGGTGACTTCTCTTCCCACAATACGAGCACACTCTCCTTGTCGACAGCTGAAATGGTATTTTTCTTCCGCTGCTCGATATTGGATTCTCAATGAACCCACACACATCCTCTTGGCCCTCCTTTTTGATCCGCCTCTTTCCCGCGCATGTCTCCGAGATTTTCATGGCTGTCGACAGCTAAAACGGTATTTTTCTTCCGCTACTCGACGTTACGCAGCATTCTTGCTCAGGTGACCTCTCTTCCCACAGTACGAGCATTGGATGGATTGGCCCTTCTTTTTGATCCGCCTCTTTCCCGCGCATGTCTGCAACTTGACTGTTGATAAGGTTGCCTCCTCCGCAATGATATACCACCAATGGCTTCAATCGGGCTCTGATACCACTTGTTGTTTTTCGATAATCGGCAAGTAAAATCGGGTGAGAAGAAATCGTTTGACGGGAAGTTGTTGGAAGAAAATAAAAATGCTAAAAATAACAGAGAGAATTGCCGAAGACTTTTGCTTAAAATGAGGTGATGATCTCTTCTAAACCGATTTACCTATTTAAATATCTAACTTATCCTAAAAATGGCTGGAGAGTGACCAACTAAATCTGTGGCACTTCTTACAAAACTGCCATCTAAAAATTTGGTAATACATTCGACGTGTTCGTCAAATGGTCAAACGAAGGTATTCAATCAACTAATGAAAACGTGTAAATCTAAATAAGGAAAACCTCAGGTTTTATCTAACAGGGAGAACGCTGATGGTAAGCTCTAGTGGTGTGATTTTCGTTGCTCCTTTCCAAAAACCCTAATATGTTTCACTGGGTCGGTGTACCTAGGTTACGGTTGAGGGAAGTTGATGAGTCCTCGTGAAGAAGAAGACATGGGGTGTTGAGAGGAAAGAAAGATCAAGAAAAAGGTGGGAAGAAGAGGCCGAAAATCATGGGGCACAGCCTGACCCAACCCGTTGGACTGACCCGACCCACCTGTACAGAACCGAAAACCTACCTGAATTTTTCTTTTCATTTCACACCATTTGATTCATCTTTATTCTACTCACACATTCCATAATGCCTTATTTATAGGAAAATTCCAATTAGCTTAGTCGAGTGGGCACTTGAAGACTCGATAAAGTTTCGGAAAGTCTACGATTAGGTAAGTAACCATCTGGAGCGAATTTTTAAGTAATTGCTTGTAGGCGTCGGTTTGGGTTTATGGGCAAATAATTTAGTACCGTATTTAGGGATGGATAACTTTAGTTCATGGAGGTGGTACTTCGATAATGTGTTTAGTTATACTTTGATTGTCGTTATGGTTATATAGTTTCGTTGGCATGAATGTGAAATTTCTAATAGGCGTTTGGACTGGTATGTTTTTAGGTTAAGCTAGATGGTTATTACGTGATTTAGTATGGTGACGTGTTGTTGCCGTGATTCTTTGTTAGGCATTGGGCGTGGGGCTTGGGTAGCCCATTGTGCCCTTTGTGAGTTGGACCATTTATTATGTGCTAGTTATCATAAGTTATGAATCATGTAGGCGACAGTGTACCGTTTTAGTAGTCACCCACAAGGGATTGAGGGTAATCATAGTATATTACCGTGGTAACCCATCAAAGGTTCTTAGTGGGACGAGCCATGGCCTTTTTACTGATCCAGCCGAGCGACATAGTGACAGGTAGTTACTGTTCCTAAGACAGGTAGTTTTACTTATCTGAGCCGACAAGGGCGTAAGACAGGTAGTTACTGATCCGGCCTAGCGAGCCATAGTGGCAGGTAGTGGCTGATCTTAGGAACAGTTAGACGTTGCCAGACACCACTAGGTCTCTGACTAGCAACTATTCAAGCACAAAGTTTAAGATTCCGTGAATAGGGCTAAGTTCAACAAGAGCTTACGAGCAGGTTGCTTACTGAGAATTTGTATATACTCATTTCGTGTTGTTTCTATTTTTTAGGTGAAAAGTAGATCCGGGTTGGTGGCGGGAACGTGTGGAGTTGTGCAGTTGCAGAAGGGGCCCATAGATTGAGTCCTCTCCTCCCATGTCGTTTGGTTATGATTTTGATGTTTTTGGAAAAACACGCGATATTTTGCAACCGTTTCCTTTTGATGTGACTCCGCAAATTCTCGTTATGCGTTTTGTAGTATTTTTCGATTTTTGAAATGTATATGTGGCAACTTTTAACTTTTAGTCCCTTGTTCAAACAACTAAAGTATTGAAAGGTTTTTACTCTTGAGTCCACGTGGCAACCCGTGATTCGATGCGTCGAAGACCGATCGTTACAACTTCTTACGTTCCAAGTAGCGTAGTCTAAAAACCTATATCTAAGGCTTATTGGGTTCCAAACGATGTAGTATAAACCCACATCCAAGGCTTCATGTGTTCCCTGCTATACGGTATGAAAACCTACACCCAAGACTTCCTATGTACCAAGAAGTATAGTTTGAATACCTATGCTCAAGGCTTCTTACGTTCCAAGCAGCATAGTCTGAAAATCTACATCTAAGACTTATTACGTTCCAAGGTATGTACTCTGAGTTATGAACATGTTGTACCGTGGGAGGTCTAGAAGTTTATGAGTCTAAGAACCTAGGTCTATGTTTTTTAATGGTACCTAGTATTCTGCATCGTAGTGGATGTAGAGCTTGTGTGATATTTTCCCTTAGTTCTCGATCTTAAAGTATTTTATAAATTTCTAAGGTTCTTAATTTCTTGAGACATACATTCTTGAGCTCCACATAACTTATGAACCGATCCCAACATGCATGAATCATTTAAAATGTCATGAAGTTATAATGTGTTATTTAGAAAATTCTAAAAGGGTTGGGATAGTGAGCAAGAGTTAGTTGAGGCATTTTCCTTCAAGCTCTCTTTAGGCCTTAATTGGGTTTAGGTTCCAAATTTTCTCTCAACAACTTGAAATCTTGAATATATATTTATGTTCTTAGAAATAGGCCTTGGTAAGTCATTCAGAAGATGTCCAGACATTGAAACATCTCAAAGAGTTCTAGGGACATTTTGACCATTTTACCCTTAATTCTTAGTTTAGCCTCCAAACATGTTCCAATCAATTATCTTAAAATAAAACATATTACAAAGTTTCATTGTATTTGGAGGCCATTTAGGTCTCGAACCAAAAGTAATTTCATAGGGGCATTTTGGTCATTTTTGCATCCTAAACTTGGTTCAAGCTCCAAACATGATCCAATGATTCTCAAACTTAACATAATCCTTAAAAACAACTAAATAAGGTGCCTCATAAAGTTTTGTAACATTTGAAGGTCATTTGAATCATGAACCAAAAATAAGTTACCTTAGGGGTATTATGGTCATTTGGTTTAGCTACTCAACACGTCTAATAGCCACAAATTTTTATATATAATATTGACATGCCATAATATGTTGCATTAAAATTTCATGCACAGCGAATTTCATTTAGTGATTAAATAAGTGATTTGAACCATCCAAATTAACCTAGTTAAAAAAATTTATGATTTCGGATGGATCGAGTTATTCTTTACCGAACATTATTTCTAAATAAAATGGCTTGGGTCTATAAAATGATCAAACCCGACTCAATCCAACCGAGCGGACAACGTACTCTTAAGTAACCTAAAAACATACAATTTCTTTGCAAATATATTGGTTGATCCACGTAAGCCCAATTCTTATAATATTTGGGGCCCAACGTGCATAAGAAGATTTACGGCCCATCCGATCCTTTTCCAGAAAACCCTAAAAAAGCTTACCAGTTACCACCCTCTCCCTCTCTTGTTTATTCGCTTCTCTCATATCCTCAGTTTTCCAGCGCCGTTCGCATCACATTTCTTCTGCTCACGACTCCTACAAATGGTACTTCTTTTATTACCACAATTCTCTGCTCTGTATTTTAATGGCGCTTTTTTTTATCACTCTTGAAATTTCTGTTGAATCCACTTGCTCTGGTGCTTTGTTGTTGCTGATTTATGTTCGGGATCATGGACGAGTTTTGGTTTTACACAATTAACAACTTATTTTACTCATGCTAGTGATCTCTAAATGTTTGACAATCAGTTGAGTTTGTTTTTAGAATACTCTTCGAATGTTAAAGATCTCTAACAGTTGTGGTGAGTTTTTAGTTGGATTTTAGTCTTCAACTTGTTGAATAATGTACTGCGATTCGGGTGCTGGTAAGAATGTGGATGAGAGTGCTCGATTCAAGTGTTCTTTGACCTTGTTATTTTGTATACTATTTCTTGGCGCGAATCGTTAAATCTCTTTGCTTCCTTTTTACGCTTCTTTGTGAACCAATTGGGAAAGCCTTTTGTGATACAGTACTGAATCATTTAGTCCGAGTAGTTCTGTTCCATGCCATCTATGGTATGTTTGTTATAATAGTGTAGTAGTTGATTGAATACCTGAACTTAGATGGATATGTATGTTTGGGGTTGTTGTTGGAGATAAAAGAGTTGATTTTGGGTATGTATGTATGGATGGACAGCCGAAGCAAATCCATGAGATAAAAGACTTTCTTCTGACTGCAAGAAGGAAGGATGCGCGGTCAGTTAAAATAAAGAGGAGCAAAGATGTAGTGAAGTTCAAGGTTCGGTGCTCAAAGTACCTTTACACGCTCTGCGTCTTTGACTCTGAGAAGGCTGATAAATTGAAGCAGTCTCTTCCACCAGGTATTCATTCATTCTTTCTTTTAGGTTCTTTTCAAATATGTTATGTTGTTGAAGCCTTTTATTTAATTTTATACATATTTTTGCTTTAAACTGCTGTAGGTTTGAGTGTGCAAGATCTTTGAACAAGGTAGTGTGGGTGGTGGTGGGTGATCATTCTTTGAACAAAATCAATCAGGAGGCTGAAGAGAAAAAAAAAAACGTTTGGCAGTAGTCAGTCTATTTCTTTTCAATCATTGAATGAATGAATGTCTTGATTTTTATAGGGACTGCTGGTGTTCTTGGCATTAATAGGACTTACAGCGCTTCTTTTTTTCTATGAACCTTTTCAAATTTTCAACCGTCTGAGATTGGTACGTCGTTGATTCCATTCCAAACTTTAATTATTCATTAGCCCTCTTTTTTGGCCCCTTCTCTTCAAGCAAAAATGTTATTAAGGTGTTCCTTCTCTGTTTGATATTTAGACAACCAAACATCATTTTATCTGTTCATTCAAAAAGGTTAACTCTTCACATGTAACAAAAGAAAAGCAAACATAAAGAGTCAGGAAAAGTAATTCATCCAATTCCTACTCGTATGTGAACAAGCTAGAATTTATATACATACAAAGAGGAAAGTAAAATATTCAAAGAGCAAATAAACCTGAATATTATCTGTTAGCTGCAGGTATGAAGTCTGCACTCTTCGGCCCCGCAAAAGCTGAAAATTTACAGTAACATCCTGGTAAAGGTATTCCCACAACTTTTAACAGATTACCAAGTTCTAGCTGCTATGAAGCGAGAAGCATAAAACAGCCCATAAAATTGTTATTGAGTGCAATGAGTTCTTTATTCAGTTAAGCAATAATGTAGAAAACCCAGTACCAGTTAGCGCTACTGAACCAAATAGTTTGAAATTATTTGATGCTGATATGATGCTGCACTTCTTTTTTTATCCTGCAATAGCCCTTCTGTTGAAATTATTTTGCACTCTTGGTAAACGTGAGTTGACAACATAATTCTTGCTGTAAGTTCAAGTTTGGGAATTTTCTCGGTGCGTTCTGTTTTTTTGTTCTCAATAAAAATGGGAACGTTTTGGTTTCTCATGCAGTTGAAATGTAACTAAGATATGACAAATGTCATCAATATATCCTCAATGTTCTTCACGGCTTCAATCTCTGGTATTGAGTTTGGAAAGAAAAGAAAAACTACGAAAATAACAGAAATTTCATAGAATATGCCATTTATAAGGAATTTGCATGCGTCTGTTCGTAGTACAATGTACCATTTTTGCCTTCTTTTTGAACATTTATAGAAGCTATTATTTAGTCTTCATTGAAAGTTGTTGCACGGGTAAATTTACCCTGAGGAGAGATGTTGCTTGATAGTAAGTTATTAAGGTAAGTTATAAAAGGAAAAAGAAAACACGCATATATAAATAATATTATAACGAACATATATAAATATTTTAAGATTTTACTCATGCAAAAATCTAATGTTCGCATGAAGTCTAACGAATGATAAAGTCGAATTTTCATTAATGATAAATTGGTAACATTAACTTAAATAATTAGGTAAGTAGGTTGGAGTTATATAGTTGAATTAATGATAAATTGGTAACATTAACTTAAACTAATTAGGCAAGTAGGTTGGAGTTATATAATTGAATGATGTATGATGGTGTGTGCCCTTGTGGCTCCTGCATGCACCATGTTGTTTGTCTTCATTACACCATGTTGCAAATGAAATGAATTACTATGTACGTCATGTTATGTATTGCTTTGTAAAGTTATTTGATATGATTGTCATGTATGCACGATGCATAAATGAAATATGTCATGGATGAAAGGAGAAAGGAAATGAGATTAATGTTATGTTATGAATGAAAATCATGGGAACTCATGCTTATATGTTTGTCATGTGCATCGGGATACTTCCTCATTTATGTTATGTTAGTATAAACGTGTACCTTTGATATTTATATTCGTCAAGATATCATGCGAACCTTTCCTTTTCTGTGCGACTGGTGCATGTAATGCATTGTGCCAGACCAAGTCAGGCCCAAGGGGTACGTATACGAGCCCACACAGTGGGCTCGTATGTGCGCACGTGGCCCATGTGTGGAGAAGTATCATGTATCCAACCTTGCCTGGAATTGAAAAGAGCTTAAGGTCATGTTACGGTTTTCAAAGATATGTTCCCAATCATATTATGTGTGATTGCATTACTAACCCCAATAGTGACATACCGAATATTTCTTAAAATACTCACTCAAGTCACGTACTACCTTAAGTACTCCACATGTCGGTGAATGCTTGAATGACCATAGAAGTCAAGAAAGGGTAGTGTAGAGTATGGGTTGGTTTTCATTTTAGTAGTTGATGGTACATCCTTCATATTTCAGAACTATGTTAATTCTAATTTTAAATAGAATGAGTAAGTCTATTTCTTCATTTTAAAATGTTTATTTTCGAATTTGCATTTACAATTTTCTTAAACTTTGTAGAAGATAAGTAATTTTAAATATTCAATTTTATCTAAAATGGTCTAAAAAGGATCAGCATTTAGTATAGGTTGGTGATTCCATACTAATTTAGCTCTTCGAAACTTCAAAAAACCTCCCAAAACGAACACAAAATTGGATGATAAAACTCCGACACCTAAAAAAATAATCCAAAAACAGTGGACACAAAACAAAATTGGTAGAAAATTTGTTTTATTATAGTTCTACTGTAATGTTGAAAACATTTTTTTTTTAGTATTTGTTTATGATTTTTAATATATTTTATAAAATTTCATTGAATAATTACAAACGGTAAATAAATAAAAAAAAATAAATTTTCTTTACCAACTCAACCCAAGAACAGAGGGTTGGGTTGGGTTTGGGTTGTGAAAATTCAGTATTGTCCAAAAACATAAAAAAATAAAAAATAAAAATAAAAAGCCCTCAACCATGTAGATCCCCCTGACCAAAAATGTCAAAGTAAACTAAACTTTTGAATAGAAAGGGCAAACAAACAAAAAAAAAAACAAAGAGGGCTAATGATAATTGAAGTTTGGAATGGAATCAAGGACGTACCAATCTCAGATGGTTGAAAATTTTGAAAAGGTTCATAGAATTAAAGAAACACTGTTAAGTCCTATTTATACCAAGAACACCAGCCAGTCCCTATAAAAATCAACAAGACATTCATTCAATGTTTGAAAATAAATAAGTAATAGACGGAATACTGGCAAACGTTTTTCTCTTCAGCCTCCTGATTGATTTTGTGCAAAGAAAGATCACCCACAACCACAAACACTACTTTGTTCAAAGATCTTGCACACTCAAACCTACAACAGTTTAAACCAAAAGTATGTATATAAAATTAAATAAAAGGCTTCAACAACATAACATATTTGAAAAGAGCTTAAAAGAATGAAATGAATACCTGGTGGAAGAGACTGCTTCAATTTATCTGCCTTCTCAGAGTCGAAGACGCAGAGCGTGTAAAGGTACTTTGAGCAACGAACCTTAAACTTCACCACATCCTTGCTCCTCTTGATTTTAACTGACCGCGCATCCTTCCTTCTTGCAGTCAGAAGGAAGTCCTTTATCTCATGGATTTGCTTCGGCTGTCCATCCAACAACACATACATATACATACATACATACCCAAAATCAGCTCTTTTATCTCCAATAACAACTCCAAACATACAAATCCAACTCAGTTCAGGTATTCAATCAACTACTACACTATTATAACAAACATGCCATAGATGGCATGGAATAGAACTACTCGGACAAAATGATTCAGTAATGTATCACAAAAGGCTTTCCCACACACACTTGAATCGAGCAATCTCATCCACATTCTTACCATCACTCGAATCTCAGTTCATTATTCAACAAGTTGAAGACTAAAATCCTAGTACAAACTCACCACAACTGCTGGAGATCTTTAACATTCGAAAAGTAATCTAAAAATAAACTCAGCAGATTGCCAAACATTTAGAGATCACTAGCATGAATGAGTAAAACAAGTTGTTAATTATGTAGAACCAAAACTCGGCCATGACGCCCAACACAAATCAGCAACAACAAAGCACCAGAGGAAGTGGATTCAACAGAAATTTCAAGAGTGATAAAAAAAAGCGCCATTAAAATACAGAGCAGAGAATTGTGGTAATAAAAGAAGTACCATCTGGTAGGAGTCGTGAGCAGAAGAAATGTGATGCGAACGGCGGTGGCAACTGAGGATATGAGAGAAGCGAATAAACAAGAGAGGGAGAGGGTGGTAACTGGTAAGCTTTTTTAGGGTTTTCTGGAAAAGGATCGGATGGGCCGTAATTGTTCTTATGTTGTTGGGCCGTAATTGTTCTTATGTTGTTGGGCCGTAATTGTTCTTATGTTGTTGGGCCGTAATTGTTCTTATGTTGTTGGGCCGCAAATATTAGAAGAATTGGGCTTAATTACACCAACCAATAATTTGCAAACATTAAATTTTAATAAATGGTATCTTTTTAGGTTATTTAGAGTAGCGTTAAAACATAACATATATAATTTATTATTTAATTTGATTATTATATTATTTATCTACCATTAAAAGTTTAAAAGTTTATAAAACTTCATTAATACAGTTCATTTATTTAGAATAATTGTTGACATTGATGGCTAAATAAACTCAACCTAAAATTTAAGATATATATATATATATATATATATATATATATATTTAAATTTAATTGGTTAAAACTATTTTAATAATTTGTCTGGATAAAAATAAACTAATTAACCATAACTAATTATCTAAAATTTAATTAGTATAATAAAGTTGTTAAAAGAGAATCTAATATAAATATTATTTGTTTATATAAACTTTTATTTTTAAATATCTTAAAAAAAAAAAAAAAAATCTCAACCTAACAACATAGAAGTACCGTATCTTCACAAATGTTGAACTATGCTCAAGTTGGATGGATTGAATTATAAGTCGGATGGGTCGAATCATACTTAAGATGACTTGTTTTTTCCAAATAACAAACTGAGCGAGTACGTGTTGCCCTTCCTAGCAGCTGCTTCAACACGATTCCCACCAATCTACAAGTAAATTTTACATATGCACACAATGAGAATAGGAGTCGAGATTATTCAATTTACGAGGGTAGACTTAATGTTTTGAGCCATACAATTTATGAAAGATCTGAGGCCAAATCAAAATTAAATACACACTGACAAAGATTACGTGGCAAAAATTATGAGATACCAAAATTGTTATGAACTTGAAACCTGTGTATACCTTGTCCATGAGCCAGTAGCCGATTGTTGGCATGTATTGAACCAAATACATAACGGCAAGGACGGGCTACAAGAGTTGAGCAACAAATCAAATGTTAAATTCCCACAAAAATAAAAATGAGAAGATAGAACTTCTACCTAAAAAAATAATAAGTCACATACTTT